GGGGGGTGCTTTCCTGTCGCCATTCCTGCCCACATAGGCAGCCGGAGAAAGAAAGAGAGAAAGAGAATATCTGGGCAGACTGTGCAGGCCACATGACATTCTCTCCGGGTCCCTTCGCTTTTCCTCCTCGCAGAGTGATGTGCTCCCTCCCGCCCTTCTCGTTTCCTCCCCCTTTCCCTCCCTTCCTCTGCCCTTCAAAGCTTCGACATGTCATCTCCCACCACAAAAACAGAGGTGGGAAGACTTGCTGGCGCTACCGCTGCCTCAGGGTGTCTGGCACTAAAGCTGCCTGCAAATACAGCGGGGAGAGGAGGAGTGGAGAGAGGGACAGAGAGGGAGAGAGAGGGAGAGAGGGAGGGAGACAGGAGGAGGGAGTTAAGGAGGACCAAGGATATGGAGACAGAAAACTCAAGAGGGAGACAGAGGGAGACGCAGAGAGCAGGAGGGTGGGCTGGTAAAGCCCATGGCGGCATCAAAGGTGTCTGCAGATAGGAGCTGTTATTAAGGTGGAGATGAGCTCCGTCTATTTACTTTGTTTTTAAAGCGACGCTGCCGTGTCTGCTGCGAGTGTCTCGCTGTCTGGCAGCTGTCCGCGGAGAGCGACTGAGCCGGGACGCAGTTCCCACCACCTCAGCCACAAAAACACAGTAATACCCTTCAAAGGTTGAGCAAATGGGATGAATTGAACTTTGCTTAAAGTATAATGTATGCAAACCACAAGCCAATAATTGAACACATCTTCTGTGATTCAAATGTGATTTTTCCGGGATTCTGTAGTATTTTCTGTGACTTTAAATACATGGGCGTCCGTTTCTGGCGAATAAACTATTCCAGGCCGACTGTTTGCAGCTCGGATACCACAAAATTTGCAGATTGATTTAAGGAGCAATTATGCACTTGGCTTTTGAACCTCTGAGGCTTTGGAAATGAATTGGTGATTGGCTCCCCGACAAAGTAAGCAGATCTGACCAAACGAGTCCTCGCCATAGGCTGAGGGTGTCAAAGAAGCCACAAGATTCCAGCAAACAAGACCATCACCAAACGGGCCAATTGAGGGCCTCTGGGGACGCGAGGGCTCTGACCTGAGAACCAACAGGTGAACTCGTCCACCAGTCTGGGTAAGAAGCTCATCAACATTTTGATGAGGGAGAACTACAACCTAAAGGAAAAGGGACCATTTGGTAAATACTATTAAGAGTGGTTAATGTTCTCATCTTCATCACTTCTGAAGCTGAGCAGTGGAAACATCTGGTTTGGCTGCATAACTCATCACTCTTCAGCAAAAAGCACATTGGCCCCTTAACGTCAACCTTTTCCTTCAATGCTTATTGTGTTGAGTCACTGCGATGAAACCAGGAAAGCAAGTAGCGTGGCTTTAAATACAGGTTAAATCTTCCGCATGACAGAAATATCTAAGAAGTGTCAAGGAAGTTGTTTTCCAGCAAAAGCATTTGAGAACCACCCAGTAGTGAGGAAATGATGATGACATGCGCTGAATATCTGTAACCCCACCTGTAAAGTCATTGCAGCAACTAAGGTCACGATGACATTTGGTGGCACCCTGCTGACTGACCTTCAGTGGGCTGGTTGGAGCGCGGCATGTTTTATATATACCGCGTTGCTTTGGTGAGACGCGAAAAAAAAGAAAAAAAAGAAGCAAAATACACAACCGCAGCCGATCCCATGACACCAGTCAGCGTCACAGCGCCAGACAGGGTCCCCACAGCACCGGCCCCGGGGCCCCAAAGGCAGACAAGTCATATTTCAATTTTAAAAAGCTCTGTGTTCTTTGCTAGAGAAACCACACCAGTGGCACCAAACTGGAAAAACGACTCAGCGAATAAAGTCTCAGGCAATTAAAATTCTTCTGTGATAATTAATAGCTGCACTTAATAAGTGGTTATCAATCAGTGTGTAATCTAGTCTGACATGTGACACTTCAACAGGAAATCAATTTGTCTCGCCAATAGGACACGGTGGTGGTATGTTGTGATATGGGCTTTTTCCATGAAGATTTACCTTTGAATCATCAGAAATAAGATTTTTTTTTTAAATTGTTGCATCATTTCTTTGGGATGGGGTTTGCGATTCCAATCATGAAAACGACCAAGTTGCATTACGTTGCAAGACATTTTTAAAGATGTGTCATGTAATGAAGGTTTGGCGCTTTGGTATTATCTGTTGGACAACAGTGCCGCCTGCTGAGTCAGATGTATAAAGTCCCACGAATAAACCTACAGATGTTCAAACTCAACAAAGAAGAGAGGAATAAATGCACTGCTCACAGGTAGCTCATCAACGCCTGAGGATGCTGTATCTGTCGATGAGGGCGATGGAAACCACGGAATCATTTGATCCTTTAACAAGGACTCCTGATATCTGACACAAACAATAAATCAAAGATTAGTGTTTTTATGTGACCTTTCTTTACTCGACTGAGCGGCTCCTGCGAAGCCCGGCTGGTCTCCACGAACGGACTCGTTTGTCGGTGTTAAAATGGGCCTGATTGTGTGGCAATAGCAGGTCTTCCTGCGGCCGTAGAAGCAGCAGTTCTGTGGGGCTAAAAAGGTGATGACATCAAGTCATCTGCTCCACGAAGAGCCGGGCTGGACCGCCACCCGGTGTCGCTTATCTGTACTGTATCTGTTCGGGGGTGAGGGATAAAACTATTTTGTTCAATCTCAGCATCATTTATGGGACATTTCCATGAGAAACGCTGTCACTCCAGTTCTCGTGTCTTTGCTCTTGCTTGCTGTTCAACAAAGAATGAACCGTACTGTCGGTGTATGAAGGCCTGAATGGTTTGGGACCAAAGGATGTGTCCAACCTGCTGCCTGCCACCGTACGAACATTCGGCTTCCTGTTTCCAGAGTCAGAACCAGACACGAGACTCTCAGCGGCGTCGAATTAAGACGGGAGACTTTTCTGTTTGGTGCTGCCGTTAATTGGACCTGATTCAAAAACTCAAAACCTCAAAAAGAAAAGAGGTTCAGGCAGTAACCCTGGTTTTAGGAACCAAAAACAGCACAAGTACAGTAAGACTGATCATACTTTTCTGCAATTTACTACTAATGTGATACTGACGTCCAAATCAAGAACATCTTCCGTTCCATTCCGTATCTACGTTTGGAACAACGTCAGCGACCACTGAATTCCATTTGCAGCCTCTGAATACATTGTTTTCAGTTGCCTTCTTCTGTGTAGACTTTTTACTACAAACGAAAGGCTGTGTAGAATATCACCACATGCAGACCACACATTCTAAAGCTGCTGCAGACCGCAAACACGCGCATGGAAGCGTAGGAGAGGCTGCAGGTCGCACGCACAAACACACAGTTACCAGGCGGTAGCAACGGTGCGTCTCTGTTTGTTTTGCGTTTGTGAATGTCCTCTATGTGTCTCTGGCACACAATAAAAGTCCTCCTATGCTCCGTCGTCGAGTGTCCCCAGTATAACCAGTCCGCCGAGCCACTCCGGGCTACTCAAAGTTACCGCCAAAATGTCTTCCAGCGAGCAGAAGTCGCCACCGGAAACGCCATTAGCATGTTAGCATTTGGCCAACGCGCCATAACGCACCTGCAGGGATTCAACGCGGCCGTGCGCGCTATAAACAGGTACAAATGTGGATTAGATTAAAGTAACAGCTGATACACACTACAAATCCCATAATGCAATTGTGGACGCACAGCGACAAATGTCTTGAGTTGTCAGAATCGAGGCTTTTTATATTATCAGGGCAACTTGATGTCACATGAGGTTTGTGAACGAAGAGGAGAAGTCACATGTTTGCAGGTTTGCAGCAGGGAGCCGTGCGAACGCCGAGGTTCGGCCTCCTGAGGTCTGTGCGCCTCACGGAAACACTGCGCTCTGTCTTTGTGACCGATCCATTTCACATGCAAATGTTGCGCGTCTGATTTGCTTTGGATCAACACTCCACATGAGGAAGGCTACGCGCGCTCGAGGGGCTGTTCAGGTGTAATTGCCTTTCAGGCCTAATTGTCCCGGGGTTCTCTTGCTTTCAGAAGCACCTGCGCGTGGATCAGAGCATTTGATGTACGTTTCAAGTGTGCGTCCTTGCAGCGGACGGATTGTCAAGTAATTGCCTCTTCATGGGATTCTATAGCTAGTTTTGGTGAAAAAGCTCATCTTTCAATAGATCATTTAAATGGCAACACAAGGCAAAGCAGGCAAAGGTCACGGAAGGTACAAGAACAATCTGATTGTCTCAGGCGACACACTGCTCTGATGATGTGTTATAAATATTGATATAATTCAATATTTTTCAGGTTATGGCGTGCAGCACATTTATTACATTTTTTTAAAATATATTATCCCATGTGGTTAGCCTGTGACAATCAGTGTCGGCACTTTTTAGGCGTTATAAATGAAAAGGTCAGAGGTCACGTCCGTGTTCGTATGTTTCATAAATCCTAAACCGGCTGCCAAGTCAATTTGCCGACTAATAAAGGCGTCTCTTCAAAGCAGATGGTAATATTTGCAAAGCAGAGCGCCGCGTCCTCAGTAGTATCAAAGAGGCATGTGCACATCACAAGGATATTTTTAGACCAATAGCAACTCAGATGTCTCATAAAAAGGGAAATCAAAGGTGACCGTCTCAAGCGTAAATATTTAAGCCGTAATATTATTGAACGTGTTTTTTCTTTTCAAAGAATTTAACAGAGCTTGTAAATCATTGGATGACATTCGTTCCAACCACGAGAGAAGAAACACAGTTTCCTCGTGCGTGACCGTGTTCGGGGGAGGGGGGAGGGGAGGGGAGGGGAGGTGAGGGTCCAGCAGCACGGGGGAGTAAAGGTATAAAAGCACCCAGAATTCAGCTGGAGCAGATAGAACCACCTGGAGTCACACCTGCGCAGAATCACATTTCAATGCGTTTCCAGCTCTGCCAGATAAAAAGAAACGACTTTGATTGAAGAGATCTGGAAGCGAAATGGATAACTTGAAGATCCAGCTGGTTGTGGTGATCTTCTGTGCTTTGGTGCAAACCTCTCAGGCTCTGTCTTCTGGTGTGGACGAGGAGGTTGAGTTGTCTCCAGACTGGCAGGTGAGCATCCGGGATCGAACCTTCTTATGACAACGTAGGAAACATTTGGTGATCCATAGTAGGTATTTTTGTCATTTTACTGCAATTAGAAATCAAAAGTATGTGTTTTTGTTCTGGGTGAGTCGATGGAGGCGGTTCTGACCCGTCCGGTGGCCAATTTGATGAAAAGATCTAAAGCTCTTCGCTTCTACGGACTGATGGGGAAACGCTCAGGTAGCTCGACTCACATTTCTGCAAAACAATTGTGGAAAACATTTTTTTTTTGCAGTTTTCTCATTATATTGTAAACACATTTCTAATTTGGGTTTTATTTTATCTCACAGGTCCCAAGACACCTTTCAAAGTAAACAGACGTGCGTACGCAAGATGATTAAAATCATGTATTTTATGCCGCCGTCACTGTAAACTCGTTCTGAGTGACGCGGTCCGTCGTTCTCACGCCGTTCTCCCGTTGCAGGGAACAAAGGCGAGGCGTTTGTGGGTCTGATGGGCAGAAGCCTTTCCAGCGGCGGTGAGCACAGACACATCGAACTCATTCCAAAATATCAAAGCGGCTTTATTGATATTAAAAATACCAAATTGCACATTTGACGGCTGTGATCGACATTGAAGCGATGAGTTGAAATGTTTTCCGTTTCTCTACAGAATCTCTGACCAGAGAAATTCCATCTGTGACCGACGTCTGGGAGGAACAACACAGGCAGGGTACGATTGGATCAGTATAAAAACCTGAGGTCGCTTTATTTCCACGTGCATCCTTACAGCAGTGCTGCCTTCATTTCATTTGTTTTATTCTCGGCAAATGAAGAACGCCTATGGTTTGTTGTTCCATCACAGGTTCATCAGAGGAACGGGTCCCGATGTACTGACGCAGCTACGAGAACCGAGTACACATCATTAAGATCTATACAACTTTACACCAACCAAAGAAAACGTCACCACACATCATACTGTTGAAAATACGCCCGCTTACGGTTCCACTTCATGCTAACAATAATTGTATTTAGCCCAAACAAAAGCCACCATCTTAAAAATGCACATTTCTTGAATGAAATAAAAAAAACATGTAAATTTAGCTGAAGTCTTTTTTTGTTGTTTGCTCGAGCGAAGCAAACATTCATGTTACGCACCACACTGGACCGTGTATCATTTAACATTCAAAGCTTATTAGATGAAGGCAGTTTTAAAAACAAATAAGAGAAACTCTACTGTAAAGAATCACTGGACTTGGAACGTTTGGAGCTTAAAACCTAAAGTAAAATACAAAAGTAAAAAAGAAGAACCTTCATGAATAAAGAATGTACGTTGGTCTTTATTGACAGTTTGTAGGTCTTAGGCTACTTGTGGTGAGGCTGGACGTGAGTTTATTCAGTAGCCCGAGGACGGCAGCGCTCATGTCCCTTTGGGGGGGGTCCACTTCAGGGAGCTCGGGTCGATGGTTTTGTTGCTGTGGCCTCGTTTGATCTCCTTCGCTTTCCACTCATCAATCAGGTCCTGGAGACGCGGGAGAGGCACGAAACCAGACGTCAAACGCGGGGGGAAGACGTTGAAGGGAGGCGGCTTCACGCCGTTTTTAAACCCGCAAAAGAAAAATGCATCGGAGGAAACGCTTTTTTGATTTAAAGTGCGTTGTTTAATAAATTATACAAGTGTCCCACGTCCATCCGTATCAAATGGTTTGTTAGTTAATTATGTTTAACTTTTCAGTTAGACGGCATGATCAACTAATCTAAAAATAAAAAAAGATGAAAGGGTAAAGAGACCTGCGCAGTGGACATCTCACCTGTCTCTTCAACACCAGGTGCTTCCCCTTCCAGTACTTCAGCATCTGGAGGGACTGCAGGGTGCTCACGATGTCCACCGGGTTCACGGCGGTTTCCTGGCTGATCTCTGCGCAGCGACGGCAACGTTCACCAGTTAATAAACCTTTTACCAACCAAGTCGTGTTCTAAAGTTTCATATCACGCGCTCATTCTGTAGTCGGAGCACAGCCGGTGTCCCCACTCACCTTTGATGGAGATTTCTTTGCCCTGGAAGGTGCACATGTATCTGAGCAGCACCTCCTTCCAGTAGCTCCGGTAGCTGATGAGGCCCAGGTCGGACAGAGGCCTCTCCGGGGAGCCCACCTTCTCCTCTACTTTGGACAGCAGGTAGCCTAAACACAGATAGAATATTGCACCGACGTGGATTTCATCTCAAAATGACAGAAAATACATCCGTTTAAAACACAATACAAATCTTGCAGCGGCACATAATACAGAAAGGATGTGCTTTACTTGCTGTATATTGATATTATATCAATATTCAGCATTATATTGATGGAGCTGCACCAGCAACTTAAGTCTCATACAATCTAATGCAATAAATAGGACTTCATTTTAATTCATAATTCAAATATTCTGAATGTGTTACAAAGCCAGAATGGATTCATCTATTTCTTTACCGTTATTTTGAGGTTTTAGTATTTATTATAATTCACCTCGAACCTTAAAATACCTAATTTTACATCGTATTGATCGTAGTAAACAATTGACAAAATGAGAGAAATACCGGACTGACTCTACGGAATACACATTAGTATAATAGTAAATACACACTGAAGTCGATGAGCATCTTGCCGAAGCCCTGCCTCATGTACTGTGGCATCGTCAGGATGCAGGAGACATTGTAGTTGAGGAAGGAATTCTTCTCCTGGAGGAGATGAGAAGGAAAAACATTCCAGTTGCTTCGGCCACTCTAGTGCAGTTGTCTTACATACAGCAGAAACGTCCTTTCACCTTGGAAAAGTAGCCCACTAAATGGCAGCCGGTGTTGTCGGCCTCAGTCATGACGTAGAAGAGGAAGGGCTCGACGTCATAGTACAGCGTTTTGTGGTCCAAGAAGAGCTTGGCGAGTAAACACAGGTTCTGGCAGTAGATCTAAGTTGTGATAAAATGACAGCGCATCAGTATCAGAACGCCGTGACGCCTGCGGCTCAGATCTACAGATCAGAGGGAAGATTTTAAAGTCTGAGGAACCTTGTTCTTTTTGCCATCAACTTCAAACACAGATATGCCTCCTTTTCTGTACACCTCGTCGCCGGGAGGATGCTTCCACACACACTTGGCCTGAGAAGACACATAATGAACGCGTCATTTCCTCAATACATGCATTTAAACCCATTTTATCCTTTCAAGACCTTTTTAGCTTCAATTCTAACAAGTAGTCATCTATTATCCACTTTCGTTCTTAGGCCAGAAACTAATATGAAATCTAAGAATCGGTAACGCGCATAACATCAACGGTGGGCCGAGGACCGGGAGCTCACCATGTGTCTTCTGAGAATGGTCTGGCTCTTCATGTACTTCAGACAGAACTCGCAGACGTAGAGGCGGCCGAGGCGCGCGTACTCCTCGGGGTACGGGGAGTGGTACCAGGTGTCCAGCTCGTAGCGGCCAAACAGGATGGTCTTGATCATGTTGCTGCCCTCGGTGATCTGACCCTGGATACGCAGCTTCTCCTGCAGGAGGGGAGTACACGGCGCTGGTTCTCAGCATTAACCTGTATGAAAGGGCTATTCGTCGGAAGGAGCTGAGGCCTACAGATCAGACTAAGAGTGACGCAGCACATCACCCGACACTAACTAGTGCTTTAGCTAGTGTTTATTACAATACTGTCAGTGACACCGTTGTTTTATTGCATGAAATCATCACTGATGGAGATATAAAGCAGCCATTACCAGGTCTTCAGATGCACGGGCCTGGGCTTTTCTGAAGAGCTCCAGGTCATATTCACTAGTGATGTTCTCCAGCAGAGGCTCCCTGGTGTTGCTGTGTGTCTGCCGATGCTCCTGTGGACCAGAAAGACGCATCCATATTTAATCATATTCATACAATATTCAGATGGAGAGCCAGTTTGGGGAGCCGGCGACGTACCATGTGCTTTTCTTTCTGCTCCTTCTGAAGCCCAGAGTTTCGCCCCTTCCTCATCTCAGACACCTGCTCTTTGTATCTGCTCTGTTTCGACGTTGGCGTCTGAAAATCACGACGGAAGTAAATAAAACGTCAGGTTAATATCAAGTGCGATCATACATAGTATCCGCCTGCGTCCGGTTAGAAAGTGAACATTATCAATGTGACGTCATTGCAGAGGGAGCACCTGGTGGCGAGTGGCGTGGCGCGAGTTGTTTTCTTCCTTCACCTCCTCCTCTTGTTTCTCGCGGCTGACGGCTTTAACCTGCAGTGGACAGTAGGACGCAGCTCACGCGGTCAGATATTCTCCCATGTGGTATTAACTAACGTAAGATAGCGATCTGTTAACTTCTATTGTTAAAGTCTAACCTGTAACAATACGGCCTGCCATAACCGGTTGTCCGCCAACACACATTTCACTAATATCAAGAGAGTCATGAGTGAATCATAGCTGATGAATCACGTCTATCCTCATTATCTCACCTTGCATTCATCGGCAGAGAGATTGTGGTAAAGAGGGCAACCTGATACTGCAAAATGCCGTTCATGTTTTCCTGTGAGGTGACCTGTGGAAATTGGTAACATCAGATAATCAATATTAATACAGGGTGTGACTGAATGCAAACTACTACATGAGTGATCGCGTTGATGAACCGCTGAATGAAATTTAAAACATTTTACCGAGGGAGTTGCACCCCGGCGTGGGGCATTTCATGTTGAAGTTGTAGGTCTCGTGACAGCGGCGGCGCTTGGGGCGGTGGGGCAGGTCTTTGTCGGAGTCTCTGTTGGCCTGATCCTTGGCCAGGCTCTCGTCGTGGGAGGCGTTGGGGCTGGAGATGTCCAGCTCGGACTCAGAAGAGGGCGCATTTCCCGTAGGCGTCAACGGCGGAGACTCGTCGTGGTCGGCGGCCCGCTTCAAATCCGGAGTATCTGAAGCTTAAAAAGGAGTCAAACCACAACGTTGAGGTGACGCTTGGCAGGAAGCACACTGTAGAAACTTTACATGGGCGGGATGATGGCCAACCCTGAGAGCTTTGGCTGAGGCGAGTAGAGGCTCTGGTGAGGCGCTGTCTCTTGGCCGTGTTCCCATCGCTCTCTGAACTATTGGTCTGTTCCCTTTCAGCGGAGGAGTCAGAGTCTTCGGTTCCATCCGAACCGCTGCCGACCATGTGTCTCTGTGTGGGGGAAACAAAAACTTAACGGCGAGGCATCCTATGCAAATACTGTTATGTTGCGAACAGGCAGAATCTGGAGGCCCAAGTGTTAAGTAGACAATAGCGGTCTGTCCTACAAAGCACAAACAGAGCGGTTAGCTTACCAGGAGCTGTTGATTCGGTGTTATTAAAACCAGCATCCTGAAATCGGGCACTACGAGATGCTTCCCGTTATGTAACAGAATACTGCCGGTGGCTTTAGCCGCTTCTTCTCTAATCAGGATTTGGGAGAAAGGCCACAGACAGCTGGCGGCTAACTGTTAGCACGGTTAGCATTTGGGACGCTTCAAATAACATGAACATTGACGATCTATAGGAGTGGCTACACGAAATAGTAACGCTATGTACCCTCGTTAGCATCAGCCGACGTCACATTGTTAGCTTCGGGGGTCATGTTAGCGTGCCAGGGGTCTCATTCGGCTAACAGACCAAACGGCATTAACAAATCCCGCATCTTGAGATCTAGTGCTTTCCTTCGTGTGAATATCTACATATTAATGACATAATTCAAATTAAAAGAGTCTCATGGTAAATTCGGCGTACACAGAACACAACATGCTCCGTGTATTGTCAATGAATTTGGTGTAACTGCTCTCGATCGCACACCAAATGTGTAACATGATGTATCTTACTTGAAGTGAACGGAAATGTTGACAAAACTAAATATGACATCAGGTACAGAGAAGCAACCGATATGATGTTTAAATGCTGCACAATGGGCTGAGTGAACGTTTCCATAATAAATCTATGTTAAATTGCCGATCTATTGAATGGAATATGGTGTAGCATTATCCTCATCCGGACAGTGAAGCTAACTCAGCTAGCTAACGTTAGCTAACGTTACCCTCTTCGGCGACCTATTACCTCTGTTCTTACCTGACGTCTGCGGGGCATTTTCAGCTTGATGCACAGTACTCCCTGAAGGTTTGTATTCAGAAATGGCAGAATTTCCCTAAACTTACAAAAAAAGACGGAAGAAAACTATTTATTGATTTTTATTTAAGGCAGAAGTTCGTATATACACACACAGCGTTGGGCCGCGTCTCTTGCGCCACATTCCCCCCACAGGCCGCACAGAGAACTGCACTTCCGGTGAGACCTCTGCGGACGATGCGCCTCCTAACCAGCAGGGGGCGACTCTCTGATGTAACCAACTGCATCAATGAATTAAGCTTTACAATAGATTACCAGCACGAACACTGGCATCTGGACTCTGTAGTTAATACCATCTAAATAATCAGACAAACTACACTATCAAGAGACAGAACTAGCTTTTTTCGACCGTTTACTTCTTTGACAGATGGAGTTTAGATCTTTAGGTTTGACTGAACGTTTTTTTTTTTCAAATTGAAATTGTGTCCTAAATTACAAGAGTGTGGTGGACTGACGACAGTTATGAACCTGTGATTGTCAGTCAACTCTTCCCATCAACCTTTTCTAATAAATGTAACAATTTAGATACCTTGATGAAAATACCTTGAGTGATTATTTTCTCGTCACTCAATAGAAAACAACTGCAAAAATGTAACACAGAATCTGATAATAATAACTGCCATATATATTATATATGCAATATAATAACTGGCTGCTTTATGTGGTTCCAACCGTTGTCACTACATTTTCCCCTTTGGTTTTCCCTCTGCACTGTTTTGTGTCTTCATCTCCCCCCCCCCCCCTTCACCTTCTCAGCGTCCCGGGTCGGGGGTTTGCTGAAGTGTCACAGGAACCAGAAGATGCATTTGTTTTCGCGAGGGTTCCATTGGCCGTAGAGGGCGGGAGAAGGAGCTGTGTCAGGCATGTCCCCCAGCAGCTGATACCAGCTGCTCTATATATAACCTGCAGGCCCTGGTCGCCGCATCAGAGCTCACAGCCGCTACAAAGCGCCACATGCTTTTTGCTTTCTGGAGCTGAGAATGAACCCCAACCCCATGAAGCCCAAAATCCCCAGACCAGAGGAGAGGTGAGTGTCGCCATTCTATTTTTGTACTAATAACTTGTTTTATTTGACTAATCTTTATGTTGGAGCATATGTTTGATCCAGAAGTGTAATATTTCCTCTGTGTTAACAGCCAGCCAGCACATGCGCTGTGGTTTGACAGAAAGAAATATGTAACCATCAACTTTATGGTTCACAAACCTAAAGATGTCCAAGTTGACATCCAGCCGGATAAAATGATTTTATGGTGAGTTCAGACACACGTTCCCTTTTGTTTCTCTGTTGTCTTACTTTTTATTTCTGCCTTAAGCAACATTTGTGCAACAGGGTTGGTTGAAAATCCCGCTGTCAGGCTATAAAACGCTGTCCATTGCATTGTGAACTAAACCACCATGTCCTGTGCTCACGACAGCTGCAAAAATGACTCGGACGACGTGATCTACAATGAACTGTACTTCTACGACAAAGTTCTGATCAATGTGAGCGTAAAGGAACAAAAGCTGATTGTAAACGTGCTCAGATAAACAGCCAGTGTGATGTTTAATATACACGTGTCGATTCTTCCTGATAAAAGGACTCCAGAGAAAGAGTCTACGACCGCACCATCAATGTCTTGCTAAGAAAGGTGAAGCCGGATTACTCGTGGCCTCATCTCCAGAAGGATCCGGCCAAGGTGAGTGCGTATGTGTGCCTGAATTGATCCGTCACCAGGTTTTCCAACGTAATCACTTCTCAGTACTGATGACCCACGTTTAGCTTCTAACGATCTCACCACATCCAAAGTGTTTGACGTTTTTCGGCGGTGTGGATTCTGGAAAAGTGGAAATATTTGTCATCTCACACGTTTGCAAACAAAGTCGTACCCGGTGCCGATTCCCTCTGTCGAAACCCACTGACGCGCCTCCTAAACAAGGAACACCAGTGAAAACGGGTGGTTTCTCCTTCGCTCTGCAGCCCAGCTGGATTTCTGTGGACTTTGATAACTGGAGGGACTGGGAGCACGAAGAAGACGAGGGAAAGGAGGAGTACGAGAGATACATGGACGTGAGTAAATGCAGTGTGTCCAGCTGTAGGATTGTGTTAAAGAGTTGTGTACTTTTTTTAATATTGACATTCCATCTGTGTGTTTAAACACTTTGCTTTTCTCTTCCAGATGATCCAAGAAATGTCCGCCAGTAACAAAGGAACAGCACCAGATATGGGGGATCTTAGTGATGTAAGAGAAGATACTAGTTTAAGAGGTTACTTTAAAGAAGTAGTTTGGATTATTTCCATTTGATCAATTAAATGTTGACCACTTTCTTCTTCTCTTGCAGTCTGACTGAGACTCCCGATTCCCTCTCTGCATAATACGTAAACATAATGATGACGGCAGTGTTACATTCGCCAACGCTGATCATATTTACAGATGTTTTGAAATGCTATTGTCTGAAACACTGTTTTTATATGTGACATTTTCTATGGAATAATGTGTTGTGTCATTGTTAGTTTGAACAAAAAAAAGTGTGCGACAGTCGTTTTGTGGCACGTGTTGATGGTCTTTTACCAGTAAATGAAAGGCTTCATACTGGATCAAGGGGGGGGGGGCAGGTCATGGCTGTGTGTTTCACTCCAGAAGATGGCGGTAAATCAGCAATACGCCCATTTCTTGCGTACGTTCAATTAATGTACTTTTAAAAAAAATGTCCTCAACCTGTTTACTGATTCGTCTTCTATGTAACTGGTGACGCTGTGTTCGTGTCACAGCACACGCTGAATAAACAAAACTCTTGAGTGCGTTTCATTTGATTATTTAGCAAACGTTTCACCTGTAACACATTCTGCTCTAGAATACAAGTTGAGACGTAAGAAGATTAAAATGTCCATTCATTTATAAACATGATTAAAACCAGAAAAGTCGCGCTCCGCTAAAGTCTCACTGGGTTTGGTCCTCGCTGCTCGCCGTACCGAGCTGACAGCACGTCGCCCCGCTCGGTGTGACTGACGTTGCACGCGCACAACTTTCCCCCCAAATAAACCCCGCAATGGCTTTTCAGTGTCAACGGGACAGCTACATGCGAGAGGTACGAAGCAGCTTCACGGCCGTTATTCATCTGGTTTATTATACAGCACTTACACCGCGTACGCCTCCAGGCGATGATTAGCATGGATGCTAACTACAGTGCAGCGCGTTAACCGCCAGTGACTCGTGTTGACGTTAGTAATAACACGTTACACGTCACGTGTTACATGCTATTTGTTCATTTGTGCAATGCTGTAGTTATGTTGGTGGCCCAGCGTGTGTTTAAAGCTGACGTTGGTTCCCGTGCAGCTCGTCACCTCCGTCGTGTCCTGCAGCCCTGCGGAGCTCCAGCGCGAAGCGAGCGGCAAGAAAGAAACCGTGAAAGGCTTCAACGTGAAGCTCCTGGACACCGTCCTGTTCCCCGAGGGGGGCGGCCAGGTAAGCCCCCCACTCCCCCCTTTTTAGGACTTCCGGTTCTGGGATCAGCGCACGTGTACTTCCGCCCTATCGTGTAAGTAAGTGTTCTCTGTGCCGGGCTCCTGCAGCCGGATGACCGCGGGCTCATTGGAGGCGTCCCGGTGCTGAGGGTGACCAGGCTCGGGCCGGACGCCGTGCACTTCGTGGCCTCACCTGTGCAGGTGGGTCAGGAGGTGCGCGTGGAGGTGGACTGGGAGAGGAGGTTCGACCACATGCAGCAACACTCGGGTGAGAATCCCAGCAGACGGAGATCAGGGGCGGTTTCATGGTGCGTTGATAAAAACACGCTTCCCTCCCCGTTCCGTAGGTCAGCATTTGATCACCGCTGTTGCGGAAAACCTTTTCGGATACAGGACCACATCCTGGTACGTCACCGGCGCACTGTGCGATTCCCCCTGTAACCATAAAGGCGTGTGCGTTTACCCGTCTTCTTTTCCTCAGGGAACTTGGGCGCCAGAGAAGCACCATCGAGCTGGACGCCCCCTCGGTGACGCCGGCCCAGCTCCGGGCTCTGGAGGACTCCGTCAATGAGAAGATCAGAGGCCACGTGCCCGTCAACGTTCAGCTCCTCTCTGTGGACGATCCTGCTGTAGAAAAGGTGCGGCCTCTCTTTGCGGTCACTTCCTTTTTGGATTCACTGCATGTGTTAGAATATGTTTGTGTGTTCCAGGTGAGGAGTCGAGGGCTGCCTGACGACCACGCGGGGCCGATCCGGATCATCGACATCGAGGGCGTTGATGCCAACATGTGCTGCGGAACCCACGTGTCCAACCTCAGTCACCTACAGGTCCGACCCCGCGCGATCCAACTTATGCTCACGTGTCATTATTGAACCCTTTCGGTTTATCTGAATTGTAGGTGATAAAGCTACTGGGAACTGAGAAAGGAAAGAAAAACAAAACAAACCTGGTCTTCCTGGTAGGAAACAGGGTTCTGAGGTATGCAGAGAAAAGCTACAGCACAGAGCGATCGCTGGTGTCTCTCCTGAAGTGAGTCTCAAACATCAGAATATCCCCAACGTGAGTCTTTAAAAGGAACGGAGGAAAACAACTTTGACTCTGTTCAACAGAACCGGACCCGATGAGCACGTTGAGGCTGTCGACAAGCTGCAGAAGTCTGTTAAACTACTACAAAAAGTAAGAGCATTTCATCGGCGGGTCACACAGCTGTTTGCTGCTGCATAACAAACTAACTGTCCTAAACGCGTCCCGGGCAGACGAACCTGAGCCTGCTACGAGACGTGGCCGTCCTCGTGGCTCAGAACTTTAAGAACAACCCGCAGAGAGGAAACTTCTTCAGCTTGCACAGGTGAGAAACGCGCCGGTCGAGTGCAGCTTCAATGTTTTCGAGCACATATTTCAGAAACAAATGTTCCGTGTCGACAGGAAAGAGGGCGACAATGAGTTCATGAGCATCATCGCCAATGAAATAAACACAGAGGTAAGTTTACAAACCGGCCGCCTACTTTCTGTCTGGTATTAAAAGTGTCTTTAAAGCCTCGTCTGCTCTCAGGAGACGCAGCTCTTCCTGACCGTCGGAGAGGAGAAAGGACCTGGTTTGTTCCTGCTGGCTGGACCCAGTGGACGCGTGGCTGAGATGGGACCGCGGTAAGAGACGCCGCCGCCTTGTATCCATCCATCCATCCATCCATCCATCCAGCCGCCGCTCTGATTTAGTTTGATGCCCCATGAATGGTCTGTGCTCCTCAGGGTGCTAGAGATGCTCCAAGGAAAGGGGGCGGGGAAAAACGGACGCTTCCAAGGAAAAGCCAACAGCCTGGCTCGCCGAGCGGAGGTGGAGGCGCTGCTGCAGCAGCAGCACACCGCAGAGGGAGAGTAAGAACGCATTCAGGACTCAGGGACAGCGGAGCTAGTTTTTGGGATTCTTATTTTGGTTGTAAAAAGACAAATGCCCATAGAACTTCTGTACATATGATTGTTTGTGCAGAGTCATTTAAAAATGTCATTATTTCCATTCAAGCATTCAATCCATTTTTCCAGGTGAGGAAGTTATTAAACGTCCGGCTCAAGTGAACGTGATTTAGCCCATGAAATGAGTCCTTACTCACAGCTTTTCTTTTTGGAAAATGGACAATCTACAAAAGTTGAACAATGTTTTTATTGTGAAAAACACGCAACGGCCAACACACAAACGTGAATGAGGCTGAAGTCTTTGGCACATGATTTGAAACCCACGTACAATGTAATGCAACAGTTTTATAACAAATACTACCGTAGTGACAATAACCGCTTATCCCAATTTACATCGAATGCTATGAAATAGAAGACACCTTAGGTTAAATGTGAAGTCATCCAGCCTCGTTGGATTGAACTACAGGAGGTCGTGATTAAACCGTTCTCGTGTTTCCTCCCTCAGTGTGAGTGAGTCTCAGATAAAATCAGCTCTTTGGAAACAATTTCATGCTTTGCTGCTGAGAGAAAGTGCTCATTGTAAAATGTGATAATATAGTGCACTTGTGTAAACGGGAAAGGGTGCTTGCACATTTATAAAGTACTACAGGCAGAACACAAGAGAAATGGTTCGGCGGGAGCTGTGATGCTCGGGGTTATTGCAGTGGTCTCACGATCTTCATCGAGATGTAGTTCTGGAAAAGGCAAAAAAGAACAATCCAATCATCTCAACGTCACTTCATCACCTGCCTCCCTTAACAGTGAACAAGTATTTCAAGCCCCTGCAAACGCTGTTACAGCTGTTACGGTACACAGCTGTACCAGAGGTCTGCGTTCTTCTCTTACCGGCAGCGAGTACAGCAGGATGGCGAGGAAGAGCACGACTATGGTGAGGAGGATGAGGACGATGAAGAGGCACCTGAATCTTTTCCACACAATGAACTTCATGGTCTTACACGGGTTGGTGAACCAAAAGAAGGACGTGTCCGGGCGTCTGAGGGGGATGAACAGTTGACGGGGTCATTTTAACTGGCGGGTGAGAATCGATTCAAGCTGCAGGATATTGAATGCGGTTTGTTTCGTCAGAACTGGGCTCTTACTTTGGAGGGTCCAGTTTTGGGTTCATGTTGGGCTCGTCCCGGCCTTTTCCTGCAGGCTTCTCGTCCGCGAGCTCTTCACCTATAATCTCCAGCGTCATCTCCACCTTCCCCTGTGAGCAGAAGTACGGCGCAGCGACGTAATAAAAAAGGATCTGACGCTTCGTAATAAATGACATTTTGCTGAAGTGGGGTAATATTCTTATTTCAGAAAACAATGGTTTCCGTCTGCTGTTCTTTTAGATTAAAATGAGTGTTTGTGTCCACGGACCAATAAGAACAAAGCCGAGGCGCAGGAATGATGTCATTCCTTTTTTAATCCCCATGAATCCCGTTTCTTGGATCTACTTTCTAGTCATACTTACGCCCAGGACCTTCTCTCCACCCTGTTCAATGGAACATGGCCACCAGCCTCGGACCGACTGCTGAGCAAACAGAGACTTTGCCGCTTCCAGTTTGTGTGGAGCTCCCACTTCCAGATCATCCATCATCTTCAGAGAGCACTTCTCTGGGCTCTTTGCAGGAGCAACCAGGTTACGCAGATCCAGCTCCAGGGAGCCTGAGACCACACAGCGTTAGACCAGAAGCAAGAAACGAGCTTGAAAGAGTGCTTGGTTAGACCGCAAAGGACGCGTCTCACCGAGGTAGTCATCCAGGGAGAATTTGTCGTTATCCCAAATCTGGACGATTAGTTTGGGCGGAATCCTGAATTCGGTTTTGTCGAGACTCCAGAATTGTTCCTATCGAATTAACACATGTTTTCAAAAAACGCACAGAGAAAGAAAAATGGTCCTCATTTAGTTTCAGGCCAATCGTTGGGCGATCCAGGCCGGCCTCACCTTCTTGGAAACCAGGCAGAGCTGTTCGGCCGGCAGGTACTCGAAGTCAAAGACGAACCTCCAGTTGAAGTTCCCGTCTCCGTCCAGAGACCTGTAGTGAACGTCCGTCTTCTGCTTGTTCTCCTCCATGCCCGGCATCCAGCTGGCAAACGGAACAGCGGGTGTGAGCACAAAAACGAGAAAAGACTCTAAAGAATCCATCGGCCGTACCCTTTGACGTAGATGTCGCTCATGTGCTCTCCCGTGACGCTGGTCTCATCCAACGTCACGTCTGTGGTGTTCCAGACGACGGCCCGCAGGAAATACCTGGAGATAAAAAAACAAATAAAAAAACTCCAGCAGGCATTACCTCGACCTCCTCTCCGGGGACGAGGGCTCGCGGCGCAGCACTCACTTCTTCGGCTTGCGCGGCGTGATGTCAAAGGGAGGTCCGGGGGGGCCGATGCTTTTTGGGAAAACGTCCACCCACATCTGGAGCTGTCCCTGAAGGAGCACGGCATGAAAAGGTTTCAGGAAACAGCGGTCAGGGGGGGCACGGGGGGACAGACGCGTCGGCGCTGTGGTGTCCAACCTGAGAGAGGTTGGGCTGGAAGGAGCTGTAAAGGGTCCGGGCCTCCACGTGTTCGGGGACGAGTCCCTGTTCCCGTAGCACGTGCAGGCACAGGCGCTCCCGGGCCGGACCCAAGTGCTCGTGGACCTCCGTGTGGGCCTCTGGAGGCGAGAGAAGTCACAGCTTGATTAGGCTCGCGGTCGGTCAGTGCACAAATTTCCGGATGTTTGCTGAATCAAAGAGACGTACCAAACTCAGCCAGAGTGTATTCTCTGCCGTTGAATGCCAGCGACGTGCCGTTGTCTTCCGTCCGGGGTTTGGACAGACCTTTCAGACGAGCCAAGTTGTCCAGGACCTCCGACGGCTTCAGCTGGTCCCTCCACTTGTTGATGCCAGAACTGACACCAAAAAAAACAGCAAATGAAAGTAAGGATCTCAAAGCGCAGGTTTCTAATGAACATTCCCTGATTGCCCCTCACATGCAGTAGGTCTGTGGCAGGCCGCAGTAGGAGTTGTATCTGGACAGGAAGCGGTTCTCCAGGTCAATCACCGTCTCGCCCACCTTCTCGTCGCGACTCAGGAGATCATAATCGTAGACGGAGATCTTCAGATCCTTGTCCTGAGGCAGGAAACACGTCATCTCAAACATCCTGAACAGAAAAGGGGGGCGGCGGGTGTGTGAGAAGGAACCCCGCGTTTACCCTTCATGGTAAACATGGACTGCGAGATTAACACGTCCGTCATTGCTTAAATCTGTCCATCCGTACCTTCCGAACACGGGGCTGGTGGTGTTGGGCAGGTAATGGTCTCGGTCGTCGAGTGTGTTCTTACCCAGTGAGATCTTTACGTAAGGATCGCACTGAGCAGGAGGGAGAGTGAGAGGACAAGTTCAGAGCTCTACGCCCGCTCAAACGCGCCTTTATTCCTCGTAAAACACGTGTGTTCTCACTCGGCCGTTGTTGTCTTTGGGCTGCAGGTCAACGCCCCGGACCACGTAGATCCTGACCAGACACTCCTGAGGGCCGCTCTCCGGCAGCTCTCTGAACTGACGGGGCGGGGGGGCGACGCCCGGGTCGTCTGGCAGGGGGTACACCTTGAACGAACCCTGCATGTGCAAGAGCGCACACACACACACACACACAATTTGATGTCGTGAAACCTGGAGTTGAGGAGGTTTCAGTACGAGAGTCTGATCAAACTACCTTCAGCTCCCCAACCACCGACGGGTCGTCGTCGCCGTTCTCGTTCTTGCCGCGCTGCAGCTTGAAGGTGCTGCAGAAGTCCGTCAGGCCTTTGAACTCCGGCACGTCCTCGAGTTCGCAGTCGTACACCTGAGGACACGCGTGTGCATTCGAGTCACACACACACGGCACTTGGCGAGACGCGTGAAGTAAAACCATAAAACGGTCGTGTGCATGAAGAGATAAAGCAAACCTACTCGGAGGGTGTCGTAGCCTTTTTTGAGGTAAGGGCCGCACTTCTGGTGCTCTCCGGTCGACGCGTAGAATTTGCTCCACCAATCGACAGTCTCCTTTTCCTGAATGTGGAGTTGCTCATTGTTGAAATTCATACATAAAAATTAAAAATCTGAAACCTCGTTCAAAGCCGCTGGTTCACGCTCACCTTCTCTTCAAGCTTCGGAGGACCAAGATGCAACGAGACACAAAACAGAAGTCAAAAGTACGCTCACACACTGCGGTGACATCAATAAAAACACACAACGCGTACTGACAAGGACGTGATTACAGTGAAAGACAGATTGAAAAGGAGATAAAGCAATTTAACGATCAATGGCTCGGAAAACAAGGGCGGAACAAAAGGGCCTCTTTTTAACTCAGTGGGAAGTTAAATGAGCACATTTTAAGTTTCTTTGCTTCAGGTAAAAGCAATTGAAACTATTTTTAGAAAAAGTAGCTTCCATGCAAACTAAATTGCTGGGAAGCTAAATTCTGTGTTTTCCATGTTGCACCTGTGAAAAGAACCTTTGAACCCCTTTGAACCCCCAGTGAAAAGATCAAAGCTGCTCATAGTGGTGAATGAAGGTGAATAGTGATCATTGACATTCTCCAGATTAATGGTGACGTCATGCAGCCTTAGAGGCGCAGCGCTGCGGATTGAGTCATTAGAAAGCTATAAAAATGAACCATACATACAAAGTGGGAGGTATGTGGGGCCATTTTGTCGAGAGCAGCCGACATACTGAACAAGAACTGTAAGCCAGAGTAAGCAAGCTCGTCAAATTTGACTAGAGCGCCAAATTATGCACTTCATAGTGACGCGACGAAGGAAGCACCGGACAACACGATGTGTGCGCGAGCGTCGGGGGGGGAGTGTACCTGAACTTCTAGCAGTGGTCTCTTCTCCTCCATGTTAATAGCGAGATGATTGGAAGGAGAAGCCATCAGCGCCACTGCAAAAAGGCGTGAGGAGAACATTAGAACGGCGCTTTCCGTCTCCACCGAATCAGAGTCACTTGTAGAGAACTTACTCTTGGAGGACATGGCTCCCTCTGCAGTGATGACGTATGGGTCACACCTGAACTGCTGCAGTGTAGTGATGGTGCACTGACCCACCACAGGCTTCCTGCCAAACGGACGGTGGTCAATCACCTTCAGCACGATGGGAGGTGTGTACATCTCCTCCTTAGGAAGGAGCTGCATGGACAAACGTATGGTGAGGTCACAGTATTGTTTAAAAGACCCCCCTCACCCGTATAGACCAGTGCTTTAGTTCCACACTTGTGCTGCTATTACCACTTTGATGAAGAGGACAGAGCTGGGGAAGTTGGGGCTCTTCTTCATGTTCTTGATGACCGCTGACTCCACCCTCACCCCCCCACACTCCACCACCAGGCTGGGAGAAGACACCGAGGCCAGCTGGTACGGCTTCATGTTCCTCAGGCCCCACGCCAGAATCTGCACACGAGGAGAGAACGGTTTCAGTGGCGACATAAAACACGTGAGCTCGGAGGGGGGCAGGAGGGGGGTCTCTAGAAGCTACGCCGTACCTCCACGGCAGTGAGCTGCACCACGGGACGGATGCCCTGAGGAACCATGTAGAGGCTTTCTGCTCTCTTGGGGGGAAACAGGGGAAGATCCGTTTCGCCCGACTGCAAAGAGAGGAGCAGTATGGATTACGCTGGCTTTTGGGTCTCCACCAGGGGCGGAGTGTTATATTGTATAAAGAAGTGGCTTCTCGATTACTTCCAGGACTAACCTTGTCCTTGAGGATGAGTTCTGCCGCCAGCAGTGCCTCCCCGGCCTTCTGACCTTTCTGGATGATGGGGTACCAGAGCAGTTTGGGTGTCTGATCCATTCCCGGATGCAACTTCACCAGCGGCGTGCAAACACTGCGGCCCAGCGGCTCGTCCTTCCCCTGAAGAGAACACGCGTTACAGTCGGAAAAGGTCGAGATTACCTCAAAGAATGAGGAAAACATCCAAAAGCAGTTTGCAGCAAAAAGGTTCAACTTGTATTTGCACTTTGTCCAATAGTTGTTATATGCAGTAATCCAGTTCTACGTATCATAGGCTCCATTTGTTGAGTACTGACAGCCCACATATTTAGTTGTAAAAATACTTCTCCGTGTACCACTTGGTCATTGTCGAAGAACTCCAGGACAACATCAGGAGGAAGCTGAGCAACGTTCTGGGGGTCTCCGAAAATCTCCACGTCATTGAAGATCAGAGTCTGGTCCCAGGTGGGGTTCAGAGTGGCCTTCAGCTTCTCCGTTGTCTTGCTAACGTGCAGGAAGGAGACGTGTGCGTACGGATCTGGATCAACCATCAACAGACATTTCTGCAGTGAGACTCGCTTCATTTCAAATTACAAACCAATCGTTTACAATCATTGAAATCGTGCAGAAACGGACCGGAGAAACTGTCTTTGTCCATAGATGCCAAGTTCTGGGCCTGATAGACGTAGACACGCAGGTGGTACATATAGGACCCTGTGGAGAAAACAACACGTTGTTCATGTGTGTCTGTACGTCCGTGATCATCGATGAGCATCACTGTCTGGACCCTCACTGTCGAAGGAGCAGGACACGGTGGGCGTGTTGGCACCAAACATCTTGGTGACGTCGGCCTTCGAGCCTTTCTCCTCGGTATCGACACCCTGCAGAGTAAACGGAAACAGGCTTCAACCTCGTCAGGCGTCACACGCTGCCAAACACAAAGACGCCGCCATGTAGCTGTAGCTTAATACACAAGCAAATAGTTGGTGAGCAGAGATCCGGTTGGTTAACGCCGGCCTCTTTCTCTCCACCTGCGGACGGATCGTCCGAACAACCTTTATAAAAACAGATCTCGCCCCCAAACGAGCAGCTGGGAACTGAATGTCGTCTCTTTATTCACCAGTGCCCCCTCCAGCTGGAAAATGGCGGACGCTCCAAGCCGCTCCTCTGGTGCCATCTTCCGCCGCCAGCGCCTGCGACGGAAAGTATCCGACGAGCGCTCCGTCCGGTGGAACTTCCAGCCAATCAGAGAGGAGAATTCCCAGCCCTCCGGGTCCCCTTGGTCCCGCTTCTGTAACCGAGGGCAACGTAGCTTTTTTAAAATTCCGAGATGATGTACACATCTAGATCATATTTTGCACGTTAATAGTTTGTTACATTAAATGTAAATTCGGTCAGGTGACCCTGTTCTGACCTGCACAGGGGCTCCTGCAGGAGGTGCCGCTCTCGTGCGGGGCCGGACGAGCCTCCTCCGGCGGTGGATGTGGTAGACCTTCTCCGCAGGGACCCAGGACCGGGGCTTGTCGTCGGGTGGAATAGTGACTCCGTACTCCCAACCTGCGCAGCGCCGACACACACACACACAGTAACTCCTCGTGCCTACAAACAGCCGGAAGAACGCGCTCTCCATCTGAGCCGGTCGCACCTTGATCGTCCACAGCTCGGTTGTCGTCCACCGTCCACTTGTCCCCCCACGTCCATCCCGCAGGACATTCAAACTCTGCAGGGTTTCGACTCATCTCCCCGTTCTGTGCGACGCAACACAAAACCTCACATTCAGTCTCCGTTCCTCGGTTTCTTGTGTCACAAGGATCGGGTGCCGTTCGCTCACCACGTCGGTGAACGGCTCGGAGGCAGCCTTCCACTCCCCGCCGGGGAAGCGGGTCTCGTTTTGGTAAACCTCGTCCATGAAGTCCGTGTGTCCTGCGTCCGCCTCTGTTAAGAGACTGAAACACACGGTCGACCACGAGCACCACCGTTAAAACCAACATGGCAAAGGGTCTCCTTCAAAGCCACCATGTGGGATCTCTGGCACAATCCAGTGGTATTTAAACCGAGGAAAACGGCATCCTGGTCCAGCAGCGCATGCTAGAACCTCAATGATCTGGTGGAGTCGGAGGACGACTGGGAGTCAAAGAGTTAAACACTTCTGCCGCAATACCAAATTAGGCTTCTTGTCTTGCACAACAATTCTTTATTAAATATGAAATCGTTCACTTAAGATATGAACGTAGAGAAGATTAAAAAATATATAAAAGTTCTTCAAAACCGTCATGAAAAAAGCTGAATATAGTAAGTTTCTCCATTTTTTCACCCTTCTGTACAGGACAGAAACAGTTAAAAGTCTTTTAGAAGGAGTTCTGAGAACGTAACCGGATAAAACCGCTTCCTGTCAGAGTTGGTCATCAAGCATGAGAGGAATGTAAACAGAGGATAGCAGCCGTCTCACACTAAGTCAAAGGTCCACAGAACGTGTGTTCACTGGGAAGAATGTACATAAACCTCCATCCCACCCAGACAAACACCTCGTGCTTTTCTCTGGTTTGAATTCAAAAGGAGCAAATTAAACTCACGCTCTCTCCGGGTCAATGAACCAATCAGCTTCCCATTCCCAGCCCCTCGGGGGCATGAAGAACTCTTGCTTCAGCTTCAGTCTGCCCGTTACATCGGAGAATTTGTGGCGCCCCACTAGTCCGGTTGTCCCCCACTTCCCAAACACCTGGGCCTGGTTCTCGTACTGAAATGCAGGAGGAGGACATGTTGAGTTTCAGATGGATGGATTCTCTCTTCTTTAATTTCCTATTGTGGAGGAACGTACCAGCTCAGCAAACACGCTGAAGGTTCCCTCGGTGTAGGAGTTGAACTTCTTCTCGTTTGCAGACAGACCCAGCCACATGTTGACTCTAACCTGAACCGGCACCTTCTTGCCCTTGTTCTTGTCCATGGGGTACTGAAGGGAGCCAAACGAGAACATGAGCATAGGAGTGATCCCACAGAAAGGTTCTGGGACTCCATGCGTCTACCTGTAAGTAGACCGTCTGTGTCTTTCCACAGTGGCGACCACAGGCCTGCTCGCTGTACGTGGAGTAGAGGACCTGGTGGGCTGGGATGCGACTGTAGGCCACCCTCTTCTCCCCCCGGAGCATCCAGATGATCACATCAGGCATGCTGTTCTGGGGCTGCACAGACACCAAGAACAGTTATGCAGATCAACACAGACCGGGGGGGGTGGGGGTTCTATTTGTGGGCGGCTGTGGTACATGCCTCCTCGGCCAGCAGCGAGAGCTTCTGCGCCCAGGACTCCAGGTCAGGCAGAGTGTCGCGGATCTCGGTGGCCTCCGCCCGCATGCGGCTGGCTCCGTCCCTGATGTTGGCCAAAGCGCCGTCCCGCAGCTTCTTGATTTGAAGGTCCAGCGCTGTCAGGTTGGGTCGCCCGTCCAGCTGCGGTCCTGGGAAACTGACAAACAAAACACTTAAAACTATTCTAGGATGCCGCTGTTTTGGGCTCGTCTGACGCGTCAGCGTCATTGAAAAGGTTCGTAGCCAACAACATCAGAAATAAACACCACGTCCTCCATTTACTTTTCTATGTCTTCCACCAGCTGATTGAGCAACTTCAGCCAAACCTCCACCAGCTGGTTGTCAGAGACTTTAGCAGAGATGGCAACTTTAAACAACTCCAGGTTGGATTGCTGCAACAAACGAGAAGAAAACGCAGGATTACGTTCCAGCCTTGAACCTCTCACACAGAGACGAGTACACACATGTACCAAACGTTCGTGCAAAAAAGAAAAGCCAGCTTAAATAGCTGCAGATCCATCAATAAAAGATAATGGCGAGCTTTCCGCGGCTTATGGAGGAGGAGCTTTACCAGGCGGTGAGCAATGTAGAGGATGATGTTGACGGAGTCCAGCCGGTGGCTGATGTCCTCCCAGCATGAGAGAACGACCACCACAGGCTTGGTGTTGACCCAGGGCAGGTAGTGGTAGTGGTTACCTGCGTCACAGCGCTCCCATTTAAAACACTCTCCACGAGAAAGCAGCTTTCGTCACATCAAGTTTCCTCACTCACCATCAAATACGGCACAACTGTACTGCGTGGTGGAGGACAGCGGTTTGCAGGTGGCGTCCAGTTTGTTGCCATAGTTACCGATGCTGACCTCAAACTGGATTGGCTCTCCTGGCTCTTGTAACATGGACGCGCTGTGGAAGACGGCACACAGACTGTACTTCCTCCTCCTCTGGTACTTCTAATGTGGGGGCGAGTACAGAAAAAGGGGAAATGGGAGGTGGAACATGTTTTAAGATAAAATTAGAATTCAGCATCAGAGAAGGAAAGCGTCACGCATCCCTCGGCGGCTCAGTACCTGCACCACCAGGATGTCGTCGCTATGGAGGTCGTCCACGGTTTTGTCCGCCTTCCCCTCCAGCTTAGTGGACAGCTCCACCAGGACGCGTCCCCGGTACGCCGCGCCTTCTCCCTAAAAGCACGTTTACAGGAGCGGTTGAAAAGCCGATGACGGCGACGTGGAAGGAACGTTAAAACGTGCGAAAGGAGGCCGATTAAAAAAAAAAGACCCTTCCTCACTTTGCCATAGTTGAGATCGTCGTAGGGGTCAGGCAGGCCGGTGAACTCTCGGGGGCTCCCGTACAGGTTGACGTAGCAGGGCCCGAAGACGGGCAGGAAGCCCATTTCAGACTCCCCCGTGTTGGCTGTGGAGAGACGGACTCTTCGTGACGGAGTAAGCTTGTTAGTGCTGTGACGGCTGAAGCGGGCTGCACACAGCTAATGCTAATGCTTGGTTAGCGAGCGGCAGGCGCTGCGACTACAAAAGGCTTAGTCACACAAATACGGAACAAAACGGCGCGTCCACAAACTCTCGTTAAGCAAATTGCCCGCGCACAACATGCGGAACGCGTCACATCTCATGCAACACAGAGCAAAGTAAAAGACCAGACGTCTGAACCTTCGTATGACGTTTTGTCCACATTTCCTGCATGCTCCTCTATTCCAGAAGGAAAAAAAAGGATATTAGAAGAAACAATGTTTGTTTCAAAGGTTTTGTTTCAGAAGGGTTTTCATTAAAGATACAGAACTATTTAAAAGGAAAATAAGGTTTCAGTCAAAACAAAATCCCACCTTCTATCTCTCCACCAGAGGAGGCGATCTTGGCCAGGTTCAGGTATGCAGTGCCAATAGCATCGTTTCCTGTCAATCGATCCCTGGAACCACACACACACACACACACACCTTTAGACTCACACTGCACACACAAACAACGCTTTACCTGAATCTAACGAAGACAATGTGCACATTTCACAGCACAGGGGCATTGTTACTCTCTTCCTCTATGAGGAATGTACGTGGGATTCAACGTCTACGTGTTTTCAACACCTTCACGAGGCTCACTGCTGCTGCTGTTGTTCCGACCTTTTCCGCTCACTTATTTCCCTTCAGCCTTCCTGGACCCGAGTTATCGGCAGACAGACCGTGTCCGCTCAGGAACGCACAATAATGAAATTAGCTGAGAGACGTTGCCAACAGGATCCCGGGGCATGTGACCGGGGGGGCAGTGGCATGCAGTGGCACAGACACACACATTGTGGAAATAGTGTGGGACACGTTCTCATTTGCAAGGAGCAAAAAGAAAGCGGCCTCCACTCAAACACAACATCTCTGTCGACATTAAAGCTGAACTTGTTTGACTTACCAATCAAAGACGGTCAGCTTGACTCGCTCACACATGGAGGGGAACTGAAGAAATGCAAAGGAGCGGGTTAAAAAAAAGAAAACCCCACAGAAATGTATTCATGGAGTCCGTTCCATCAGAACAGCACTGCTCCTCTCACCTTGGCTTGGAGGTTCAGCACTTGGTTCCACTCTGGGTTCGCATTCTTCTCGATGATCCGAGTGCACAGCTGGAGAGGAGAGCAATGGTCACATCCAGGATGCTTTACGCTCGACGCTGCTAGAAACAGAAAAACGACCAGAAACCTTTTTGCCGGCAAAGCGAGCCTCTAAGAAGGGATCCACGAGGTTCTTCTTGTTCCCATGTCCTCCAAACAGCTCCTTCATGGTCTGGACGAATGTGTCGTCCACTGAAATGCAAAAACAAAAAGGGACAGCGAATGAATGATGGTAATCGTTCACATACTCTTCTTCCGTTTTGCTGGTGCAGATTAAATTACACTTTTAATTTGTCACTAAAGGCCACCAGCGCTTCTTACTCTGGGGAACGTCCTCCGCCCTGAACACCTTCAGAGACAATGTGGCCCATCGCAGGGTCACGCCGGCGGGCAGCAGCAGGTTGCTCTCGATGTCGTCCTGGTCGTCGCAGGAGTCCCTCTTCTCCACCTGCGGGGCGCCAGGTGGAAACAACAGAGGGGAGAGAGAGAGTTGGTGGAGGACGCCGACCGGCACGACGGCCGCGTGCTCGCGAGAGGAGAGAAGAGAAGAGTCGTACCGGCGCCTCGTCTCCGGCTCCCACCACGAAGAGGCTGACTTTGAGGTAACCTCTGGCCCCGGAGCTGGAATCATCTGGATCATTGAGCAGGAGCCACTTCCTCATGACACAGTGGGCTGCACGCACACACACACACACACACACACACACACACACACACAGTCAGCGCCACGCGGCATCTTAGCCCGTGAAAGTCATTATGATGACATTCTAATTAAAGATTAGTTTTAGAATTAAGCGTAACAGATGAACTACGCAAAAGGGCAACACGATTCCTTTGAGAGTTCTATTTCCAGGCAAATTAAGGACCAGCATTCCCTCTCTAGGCCCCCTTCAACCAGAGAGAAGCGCTGCGCGGCGTCGAGGGGAACGACCGCTTGTGTGTCCGTCACTATGAGCTCCACCATTCACATCCGAGTGCTGTTGTTAATCGGCTCACCAGAAACACACCCAATCTGAACATCAACAATATCCAAATCAAATGAAAATGAGACTCCGACAAGAATCAGCGGATGGAAATGAGACACAAATGTGTGGAGCTCACCGGGTTCGTCGTAAGCGTAGCCAACGTCCAGCTGTGTGCGACAACAAAACCCGATCAGCCGTTAAAGACGCTCGTTAGAGAAGAGAAGACGTTCCGTTACCAAACGTGCGAACGCGTCACGATGTACCTTGAACTCGCCCATGAGACTGTCGGCCCTCAGCGAATACGAATCGTATACCTGCAGAGGAGAAGAGAGCGGGTGGTGGTTTACACGTGGCGGTGCGCGTTCTTTAGGCGACGCTCGCGTGTACCCACCCGGAAGCTGACGTGCTTGTCAAACAGATCCGAAGGGAGCATGTGGACGTTGAAGAAGAACATCTACATTAAAATAAAAAGAAACATCACCGTCACAGAGCACAACCCACACTAGAATATGTGAAGGCTTTTCGCTGTTTGCAGCCGTGTGTGTGTGTGTGTGTGTGCACCTCATCAAAGAAGGGGTTGTTTCCCTTCTTGATCCTCGTCCTGTGCGTCTGTCCACACACGTTGACCTTCACCACTGGTTTGATGTTGTTTCCAGAAAGCTGTCGGGCCTCGATGATTCGGACTCGGACCTGAAGGACGTCAGCAGATTAAACTACACTGAAAGGCGCTTTTATTCTTTTTCCATTTAAAATGTGAAGTGTAGGAATCATCATCGACTCTTCAAACCGTAAAACCGACTGACCTGGAAGTCCTGCGGCTTATCGACTAGTCGCCGGGCGCTCTGCCCGCGGGTCATCCTCCGGCGGAGGCCAACGGGCTGACCGGCGGACGAGGGGACCCCCGCGGAGCCGCTTTGGCCCCCGTCTGGGGAAGTCTCGCCCCCCGCCTCCCCCTCCTCCCCGCCGCCACCGCCGACGCCGCCTAACGGGCGGAAGAACCAGACGATCAGATAACCCGGCATGCGAGCTGCCGGCCTTCGGCGCACCGCTCGAGGAACTCACCGCCGTCCACGGTGGCGTCTCCCGACGGGTCGTTGGGGTTTGGTGCAGCGTTGGCCGGAGGGTTGTAGCCAATCGCAACGTCGATTGTAGCCTGGAACAAAAAACAACAACTCATTGAACAAGGAAGGTCGCCTTCCTGCTTTTATTCACGTTTTTATACTTCATGCAGAAAGAATCTCACTCCGATGCTCTGTCCACTTTCGTTGAGCAGCGGGACATTCTTGGAGGGCAGTGACCTCATTTGACCCGAGGCGAGGTCTCTCAGAGAGATTTTGGTCGTGCCTATGAATCTGTCAGCGAAAAAAAGAATGATTAAGTAAGCGGATACATTTTATAAACAGTCTCCATGGTAACGATCCTCGAATGATTAAAAGAGGGCAAACACAGGCAGCCGTTCCAGCGTGAATCAGTCATCGAGTTACCGGCGGCACAGAAGTGAAAGGCTGCGTGCGCGCCGGGCGACGTCACGTCCACAAAAAGGGTCAAATAGCAGGTCGCCGCCCAGAGCCAACAAGCCCGGCCCGCTGAGACAAACAAACGCACCCCACCAGCCGGCGCACAGCCACCAGCTCACCGAAATCTACCAAGTGTCCTAAACAACCGGGAATGTGTGGACGCACAGACGTGTGTTTGTTCGGATCACCTGGACTCTTTTGATGAGAGTATTGCAGAAATTAACCACAATTTTGGAGTTCCTTAAAATGCAAAAGTGTCATTTTCTATTGTTTTTGTACAGCAAATTCAACAACATACTGCAAGTCGGCACCTCTTTGTTTAACACAATAATATACGTTACAGTCTTTAGAGAGTCAACCCCTGTGAGCAGAACGTCCTTCGTGCAGGGAGCCGTTCTCATTGCGTCACTGTCGACTTCAGTTAACTAATAGTAACAATGCAACGTGTTGAATGCACCAATCTTTGGGCGGACTGAGTTGTTTCATTTTGGAAGAATTCCTGTTGAAGACAGAGACATCATTTCCTGTGCTGGGTCCAATAAGCCGACCGAGCACAGCTCAAAGCTTCCAGTTCGAGCTTTTCCTCACTAGCGACAAATTTCACTTTGATAGAAAACGTAAAGACAGAAAGAAGCGCTGCAGATATTCCAGGACGCAGATACTCGTGTCTGGTCACTAGTGGGGACAGTTTGTTTTCGACGAGGCTGGAAACCTTATTGCTTCGCTCCACGTCAGGAAGTTGGTTGACTCGGACCCTCACGGTGACCGACCACATCGCAGCCATGATGCGGAGCGACTCATCTGGACTTCAGGGGGCACGTGACCCCGTTTGTTCCGCGTATAGCAGCAGAGTTTGTGACTAATGTGAAGCTGGGGTGAGAAACGGGACAAACAGCCGACCCGGTGACCATAAATACGCATCGGTGCCGCTCGTCTCCACTTTAAGCGTGACGTTCAAACACGCAAAGAAGAGAATAAAGTATATTCAGGAATTCATTTTGTAAAACCTGATGAGTCAAGGAAACTTTTGGGAGGGTGTGAGGGAGGGGTTCCCCTTTTGTTGCCGTGACGACAGGGACCACCCATAACAACAGCTGGAAAGCTGCTCGGCGCCGATCGCAGCGGCCCAGTGGAAAACTTTAAACTCAGTTTAACAAGGACATTTTAAAAAGCTCCACCCCCCCTATGAATGTGCCATACACTGGGGGAGGGGGGCCACTGGAGGAAAAATCCACATACCACACACGATCTGTGAGACATAAAACACGAGGGCCGATGCACTTTGACAGGCAAAACTCGGTGATCCCAGTAATCAGTGGCGTCGTCTACATTGGACCCAGATGGGGTTCTGGCTTCGTACGGAAACAACTCTGAACATTAATGCTTCAACTTTAGAAGCATTTTGCACGACAGAAACTCCTCAGAAAGTTCACACGTGCCACAGTTACACATCACGGCATCGCTGCCAAAGTAAATGCCACGAGTATTTTCCTTTAACGCTGTTCCTCTCCTCGGTGACTCACACATCCCAGAGCGAGAGGGAGGAAGGAGGGTGGGGGGGGTGGGAGGGGAACAAAAGAGATTCATCCACCCTTTGTTGCCAAATCAGGATCAATCATCCCACACGGCACGGCAAGTCTCGGCATGGCGAGCGGGGCGTGAGTGGGAAGAGACGCGGCGAGAGAACACAAGGGTGACTGTGAGGATGGAGGCTAAACGACGGCGCTCGCCTCCACTCAGACGACGAGAGGTTTGCACATGGCTTCACCGAGGCGGGGCATCGCTTTCACCTCATTCAGCCGCGCGTTGCACAAAAAGCCGGAGCGAACAAGGAGGAGATCGGCCTCGGGGCTTTGCGGGGGCCTTACTTATCTTTCCCAATGGTTTCATAGTCTTTCACAATCACGTCTACGAAGGAGCTGGAGTCCAAGCTGACGCCCTTCAGATCAAACTCAAGCACCTGCAAGACAAGAAGAGGGACACGCAGACCGTCAGCGCTGTGAGGGGCCAAGGACCTCCAGCCGGGGCCCGGGTGGACGTCCATCGGCACGAGTAACAAAAATAAAAATCAATCCGATCTACGCGAGTCACGTGATCGGTTTTCATGGCCGATGGATACGGCGACAGCGCTGATTGACGTGCGCCATGTGACGCTGCGCTTAAAGGGGGGCGGGGGGGGCTTTGCTTTTCTTTGGCTGATCCAAACTAACTGATTGAACGTGAGAGGCAGAGATCTCTGCAGGTTGCAACACGAAGACGCACCTCGTTCCACACAGGATTCAGCTCGCTGTCAATCGACTTGGTTTTCTTCTTCTCATCTGAAAGTCAAATCATTTCACACGTCAAAAAAAAAAAAAGAAGAAGACATCAGCATGTCCTTCCAACAGGTTGGCACACGACTTCTGCAGGCTAGGAAACACACGTCTGACATCACCGTACGCACTGGTTTGGCTGAATGGCTGTTGGGGTTTTGAATAAAGAGGAAAGAGTCAGCGAGCTGCAGCGTTCGGCCTTTCCGGGGAGGAAAGGAGATAAGGAGAAAAGTGCTGCCCCACCTGCGAGTGACGATTTCCACTTGGGTGCAAAAAAAAGCAGCTGGCAGCAACTAGTGGTGATTGCCTGGCGTTTGTCCTCAGACGGGAACCAGGTTTTAAATCACCAGCTGAAGGCTCATTTCCATCTCTAACTGGTTTCTCTGTAGACGTCTTTGTCCACAGGAATGCAAAACAGCTCATCCTAATTTAGAATTACGCTTAGAAGAAAAACATGACACCTGAATCTGTATCTTTTTAATTCTAAACGGACTATTGGGCTTCAGGACGATGTGCAGGAACTTCAAAAACAATTTAATAACTATGTATTGAAACCACAGCAGAGTGACGTCATACTGGATTCTGGAAGTTCACTCAATCAAGGGACCATAAACTCCTCATCGAGTAAAACACACACTTGACCTGCTTCTCAAAGACCAAGTGTTTGACCGGGTGACCGTTGGCGTTCGTCGTGAAGGACTCACCTTTAAAGATGACGGAGGCCACTGGATCCGGGAGCCCCAGTTTCTTTTTGGGGAGACCTTTGGCCGATTCCACTACGACCCGCAACATGCTGCGAGCGGGGCGCGAAGACACCCGACGGGCTGAAGTGGTGGGAGGAAACGAAGAAGAACCACGCAGAATCTCCAGAGGAACTTCGTGCTTTGGGAAAGCTCACTGCCCCATCATCGCGGGGCGGGCGGGCGGGCGGGGCGGGGGAACTTTATTCCCGGTTCCGCTGGTGAGGGAACGAGGGAGTGAGGGCGGATCACGGGGCCGTGATTATTCCCGCTGGAGGTCGGTGACTTTCTGCTGCCCCCGTGAGTCCGTGAGTCCACGCCGCCTGCAGCACCGACCGGGGGGGCAGGAGCCCGAGCTGGTCATTTGTTAACAGGGGGGGGGTTAAGATGCTTCGGGTCCCCCGTCTGCGGGTTTGAGCATCGCACGTGTGACTGTGGCTCCATCTAGTGGCCTCGTCGGGTAACAGCATCACAAAATAGTCCTACAATCACAACATGATGCTTAAATATAAGCTTAGATGACATTAATACCTTTATGTTATTCACTCTGTTTTATTATCCCAATTTCTACTTTATAATACATTTTGAAAATAGTGATAAAATCTATATTAATATCTGCCACTATGATTATAATGCTGGCCGTTGCAAGGCTAAAGGTCAGACTCCACTGGGACCCCCATGAAACCTCATGTGGGGCCACTCTGGATCGCTCAGGCTCATTGAAGTGGAAAGCAGGAGGGCAATAATTAAAATAATAATAATTAAAAAGACGTTCGTTCATTTTGTGCTGGACCTCACAATAATTCCTTTTACTTTTTTAATATTTTTCATGTGACACCAATCCATTTAACATTATATCACGTTGAATTGTCTCTTCGATGCTGGTTTCAATCTCCCCCCTTCACCCATCACAGGTCCATCCAAAAGGTATGTCAGGTCCTCCATGAAGAACCCTTCTTCTCCCCCACAGACACCGACAATGATTTATTTATTCCAGCCTTCACAGCCTCAACAGACACAACTAACCAACACGTTGGTTACTTAACTACTCCACGGTGCCGCTTGATGCGAATGGACGTATCTGGAAAGGTCGTCACAACGTGGAGCCGCGTGACTGGTCGTCCCAGTTGGTGGTCTCCAGGGGCAACGGGGCCACGCAGGACCTGCTGGTGGTGAGCATCACCAATGCTCAATGTTCAACTTACACAGGAGGGTTCAGATGATTATGCAGAAGACTTTGTGGTGTTAAACGTTGCGGTGGGATCAGCAGTGCGCTGTCCCACTGCTTCCACTGGGGGGGGCTGCTTTCATCCTGCAGGGAGCCAGTCACACACCAGACTAGTAACTGGATGCGATGAACATCGAACCCGGACTCCTTACTGTGCTTTGGGACTTTTAACAGAGGAAACCTCAGTCAGGAACTCCTCAAACACAAACATCTAGTTACATGCTCCACCAGAGAGGAGAACACTGCACCACTGCTACTCCACCATAAGGGCCTTTCACCACGGTGACTCACAACCAGTCAGGGGCCTGGTGGTGCTGGTGGTGCTGGTGGTGCAGTGGTTAGCACTGTCAGGGTTTGACCCCCCCCCCCTGCTGCAATGCTGTGGTTCACAATCTAGTGACTGTGAGAAAAACAAGTATGACAAAAGATATTTTAAAGGTTCAGTGTTAAGAAAAAATCCAATACAATAATTTGCAAAAAGAATCATATAAATCTCATACTTTAGTCATTTGAGGGGGCGGAATATTTATTTAAATAGGAAGTGGCCGACACCAGGAGGTTCAGAGGCTGGACAACTGATGCTGTCTCTATGGGCAACGTCCATACGGTTGCCACAGCAACCGACAGCAGGGACCTGCATTTTGTCGATGTCTCCACGGGCAATGTGATCTGAGGACGTCCGTCTCGGTAAACCTCATTGGTCCACCTCACCTGACTGGTCTCACCTTTTTTGAGGGTTTCCCGGCGTCCCGACTGCCCTTTGTTATGAAGATGTTCAGGTAGGACGGATTCTTCTTTGAGACAAATTCCCTTTGACAGCATTAAATCCATCGCTTGAATGAGTGAATGAGTCCAGAACAAGAAAGGAGGAGTCGAGGTCTTCTTTTTAAGATGTATTGTTGTAGATGGTGACGACAGGACGTTCTGGAACACAGCGACTGCCTTTCATTTGTAAATCCAAGTAGGTAACCGTGTTTGAAAGAATGGTTCAATGTGTTTTAGCTCTAAATGAACTTTAATTCAGCTTTAGGTCATGCAGGCCACTATGCTCTGACCTGGGTGACCCCGACCTGAGGGGAAATTTAACTTCAGTCCAAAGTGCTGCACAAATCAATGACTGCACTCGTGTTACCTGACAAATGCAAATAGTATTTAACTATAACAAATTGGCCTGTTTTTTGGCCCGATTTTTCCAGAAGAACAACTATGAGATGTGAGTCTGCTTGGTTCTGAAGTTGCCTCTTATCTAGTAATGTTGTAACGAAAGCCTTAATTAAAGTGGGCGGTGATGCTTCCTGTTAATCCCGATGTTTCTCTGGCTTCAGGGGGCTGAATGTCGCGACCTACCGACCTGCTGAGTCATTGAAGATAAGACTCAACATTTATATTGCTTTTTGTTTTATTATTTCCTATCACGTGTGAGCTTTCTGTGAGTCCTGACATGTCCTTGTTTCTGCAGCCCGTCTGAAAACCGTCTCGCTGCAGTTCCCCGGATCCCTGACGAGGACCACTTCCTCTTCCCGTGGCTGCGTCCTGCTGAGCGGACCCAGGCTCGTCTGGAGGAGGGATGCAAAGATCCCCTGGGCTCGGCCCGGCTGACAGGAGAACGGGAGGGGTGGTGACGGTGGGGAACCTGGACCACGCTGCCCTCTCGTGCTCTGTGCCACTGAGACGGGTGGTGCTCACGGAGAAGGTAATGAGAAGACAACCCCCCCCCCCCGACAGGTGTGGAACCTACTGATTGGAGCCCACCACCGACTCTGAGGTCGCAGGGTCGACCTGTCTCCATGACAACCGGCTGCTGTCCGTCGGGTGGAGCCAGCGGGTCGCTCAGTACGACATCGCGAGGACAACGGCAGGTGCTTGGAAGTGATAATCAGCTGTTACATTGAGAGGTATTTTAAAATGGAATGAATTACAGCAACACGCACGATGTACACGCACGATGTACACGCACGATGTACACCCGTGACACATGATGAAGGTGTTCAAAGTATTTCCTTCCTTTAAACTGTTCATGTGAGGAAGAGTCGACTGGCGTTGTTCGTGTCTTCTTCCTTCGTAGTCGTAGCAAAGCACGAAACTCGTTACTAAAGCTTTCTGGTGGGCGTTCCCTGGGAGCGTGTGGTTACGGCTCATGCCATTTAACCACACGCACTGGATTCCATTCTTGCCTCAGCGACCGCCTCCCTCCCTCCCTCTCTCCCTCCCTCCCTCTGGTCTCTCTGACGACAGTTGAAGCTCAAGTTGTCGTGTTGAGAAAAGGCTCTTAAAGGTTTTATTAGATCTCCATCATCCACGCGGACCAGTACACATACTGCATTGTGACCTCTTCTCACCGCAAATCCTTGTGTTACATTTGACCTCTCGACCTTTGACCCCCATCCGCTCTGTGGTTGGATTCATCTCTACCAACATTTAGTGTTCGTGTTCTGTTTTTTGCCCCCCCCTCGTGTCAGCTGAGCCTGTTTTCTGAGAAAAAGAAACATTTTAAGAGCAAAAGAAATGTGAGGATTGTTTTTTTAAGTGTAAGCAATATTAGCGGATGACGTAGAATACACCAAACACATCTGTGCCATGCAGAACATCTGCACGGGGATCATTTTCACCACGTTCACCATGAAGCCAAAAGAGCTGCTGCACTTTGTTTTTAATTTTTAAATATTTTGAACTTTTGAACTTGTTGCTTTTCTTCCTTTATTTTTAAACTAACCCATAGCAGTATATCTTATTTTATTCCTCTTGTTGTCTGGTTGTACTGTCTGCTGTCACGCTCCAACCGCCGAGTCAAATTCCTTGTATGTCTGACACATTATGGTAATAAACGCTTCCTGCTTCCTGAAAGCGCCGGGGGAGCAGCAGGTTCAGTGCGCCTTCGACGTGCGTACAGGAGGAGGCGGCGATCGAACCGCCAACCTCGTGATCAGAGGTCGTTGACCCGCTCCGACCACAGAGCCCCCCCCCCCCCCCCCGTTGGAAAGAGCTGATCTCGACTCTGTAGCCTCAGAGGTGTAAACACAATCAGCAAACCAGAGGAGGAAATAACTTCTCTTCCAACCGACCGCACAAACAATCGCACGTTATTTCTGCCCGTTTGCAAACTGTCAGCCAACGAGCTCTCACACACACACACACACACACACACACACACACACACACACGTGGTTTTAGGAACGTCGTGGAAGTCCTTCAGGGGCCGACGCCGGGAGGGCAAAGGAAACGCCGACGTTCCTCAAGTGCTTCGCTTCAGGACTGAGTTCAGGACAGTTGAGGCCTGTTTTTCACTTCTCATTTCCTTTCCGACGGCGGCGGACAGCCTGCTGTTCCTGCAGCAGCGAGTTGAGGAGCGGAGGCGTCCCGGCCTCCTCGAGGGGGGGGGGGGGGGGGGTGGCTGCCCCACAGGGCCGAGTGGGAGGCATCGAGGACCAGGCACGTGGTCAACAGAGCTGAATCTTGCACCGTCGCGAGCTGCCGGGGATCTTTTCTCTCATTTTTTTTGTTTCGGTGCTTCCGGTTGATCTGGCCTCCTGCCGGTACCATTCCTAGCAGCCCACCACTATGTCGCTTTCCAGTTCCCGTCTGTGTTTAGTGGTGTGGGATTCATGCACGTCGACCGCCGCACGTGTGCACATCCGAAGGTACATGTGTGACAGTTAAGAGTTGCAGTTTCGGTCTCAGAAGTCAAGTCTCCTGTTTTAACAACTGTCTGCAGGTCAGTTCTATGCCGCGGTGCTGCTGGTCAATGGTTTGTCCTCTCAGCGTCCGCCGGGACTGTGGACCGAAGACGAACACCATGTGGGTTCTTTTGGACAGGAGGAGAATCTCAGCGATCTGTCCACTTAGCGGAGGTGAGGTTCATGAGCTGCCGTGTGCTGAAGCACCTGTTTTTAAATGAATTTACATGTTTCCCACAATGTCACGTGTTTTTCAGACGACGTGTATAAACACGACAGCCTTGCTGCGATTTTAGCATTAAATCCTGCCGATACGTTGTAGTGTGGACAGAGGATGTCAAAACAAGCAAAGATGTCAACCGGGACGACTTGTGCCAAATCTGAGCGATGACAGAAACGTCCCTCATTGTTTCCAAAGACGTTTGAGTCTTTAACAGCAGCGTCCTTCCGGTTGAAGGTCATGAAGTCTGGCGCGGCTCCGGGTCTTTGCCGTCTGCTCGACTATATTTCTGCCACATATTTGGCAACAGGAACCATAAAAGAGAGAACAAGTCATTTGATTTTTTTTAAATGAAGGTTTGTGTTCCGGCTGCCAAAATATGTCGACACTTTACTACTTTGAAAACTAATAATTTTCATGAAGTCGTGCACAGCAACGCAGGCACATGGAGGTGACGGATAGACAGATAGACAGATGGACGGAGGGACGGATGGACGGATGGAATGATGGACGGATGTACTGATGGACGGATGTACTGATGGACGGATGGACTGATGGACTGATGGACTGATGGATTGATGGATTGATGGATTGATGGATTGATGGATTGATAGACGGATGGACGGATGGACGGATGGACTGATGGACTGA